GGGGGGGGGGACGGGGGCAAGCAAACAAAGTGCAGACGGTTGTGTCTAAATTTCGCCACATAGAAGTTGTACACGTTTTTCAACAGTTTGCTTTTGTCTTCTGTAGACCTACACGTGGCGCTAACAACACAATGTTTTAGGGCATATTATTTTAAGCAGGGGTGATATAGAAGTATAATCAGCTTCAAAATGATACAAGAACACTTAAATTAAGTTACAGCTAACTGATACATTGCTATTGAACGCTATGTAATGTAGATCTATGGCTCTTCTTAGGAGGAAGCCTTGACAGCATGTTAAAATTTTGTTGTCCCTTAAGCTAAGCTTCTTTTTTTTTTACCCATTTCCTCAAAAGAGGCCTTGTTCTGTTTCGAGCCAATTTTCGAGCTATTTTTCGAAGGCAGCTGCTTGTTGTCACAACAAGGAAGAACAAGTCCATATAATTCAAGAGATCTAGGTCCAGATACAAAGCAGTTCTCCATACAAGATTCTATAATGGGCTGTAACAATTTTTGGGAAATTTCGAATTCCGAATGCTCAAAATTATTAATTCACGCTTTTCCACCCCTTATGCACAGCTGTCACTCAATATGGAGTACTAAATTTTCGTCCTTTTCGATGTTAGTCTAAGCGCGCTTTAGGGTTGCTTGAAAACAGGGGCGTATCGTGAACTTCGTTTGTATCATGTTAACTTATGGCGTGAAGGCTCTGGTTCGAATCCTTTGCGGGCCGTTTTTTTGTGGTAAATTTGTTTGAGGGGGGATTTTAAACCTCTCCAATTCGGTACTAAAAAAGATGGACGTTAAATTCGGGAGTCCCGCCTCTTAAATGACGTAAGTGTAATAATTAACTTTACACATGTGAAAATGACAATGGCTCTGCTCTATTCTTGATAAGAGTAACATTGAAAAGAATTCTGAAATCCTCTATCAAGGGGGAGGTGGGAAGCCATTGCTCTTAGGCGAGTGGATTCCTATTCAGGTTTTCATCATGTCCACACGAATTGCAATTATGCATCACTTCTACAGCTCTTGCTCTAAATACACACACACACGCGCGCGCA